AAAGCCTTTCCAAATTACTCGGAGAACAAACTTCGGCCTGCGTTTCTGAAAGCAAAATAAATCAATTTTCCCCATCGGCTAGAGCAAGCACGAGGGTATTTGCCGACCGAATCCTCCGCAGAGAGGCCACTCACCCGAAAATCGGTATCGACCGGAATATTTTGAGAGCTGAGTACATCCGGAGACCCTCCATATACGGACTCGCTCGCAGGCAGCGATGACGACGGAATCGGCAGGAACAGACAAACGAGACTCGACCTCGGGAGTCATTGCGTGACGTTCGGCAGTAGCTCGAGTCCGACCCGGGTGTCGGATTTAGCTCGCCGTCGCACACCCAAATGAAGCGTCACAGCTCGCTGAATGTTATCTGAAAACGGTTCTGAAAGAAGTTTTATCCGGAATGCGGCTAGATAGCAACGAGAGGGTACTTCTTGACTGAATCCAGAAGTGTAGTGGATATCCGCTATCTCTTTGATCCCTTCCGAGTTGATCGTTGTCTGTGCGAGCGCCACGTTCACGGTTCAGGGTGGGAGGCTTGAGGGACGACTCGACCTCCCGGGACGAGACGAAAGGTGCGAAATTTTCGAGGGCCACCAATCATTGTGATGGTGAAATCGCCTCACAAGGCAACAGACGCCGCTTGAGCGGCAGAATGTATCGTCTGTGCTAAGCTAGGCCCTTTTCCTGGGGGAAGAACGAAATGCTTGAGCGAAGACACCCTGATTAAGCGTCTAATTGGACTCCGGGCGTCCATCGAGGAGGAGTTGATTATTCTTAATGGATAAACGCAGAGCCAAGCGGAATCGATCGATCTCAAAGGAAATTCACGGTTTATGGGTCCGCCAAGGAGTTGCATCGCACAGGTGGAAGGGCTTTCTGCGAGGATGGCGGAGCCCCATTCGCGATGGCGTCCCTCTCCCGCTTCAATAATACTATAGATCCATTCCGGGAAGCATATACTAGGGAGCCAGGGACTATAGCCAGGGATAACTCCCTCTGAAGTACCTTTCGGCCACGGAGATACCGCTTCTCACTCAAACGGAGTGTCAGGGCAAGGTATCAGCTCTGTCGACCGATTCCTCTCAACGGGGATTTTCGAGGGCGCTGAAGCTCATTGTGTGTCCTCAATCATGTCCCATAACCCATGTCCTGTAATGACCCGGAATGTTTCTGGGGGAAACTCGATCTCCGCAAGCTACGCGTCCGGTTGAGGAAGAGAATTGTTGTTTTTGTGGCTTGTGATTCTCGCGAGGACGGGAAATGGAAAACTCCACCTAAGACACTCGCGTTTGCTCATCAAAAAAAAGGGTCGGTCAAATCCGGGGGAGGTTCGAAGTAGAGAGCGGAACGTTTGCTTCGCTGTGTTGACTCTGACTAGTGACGTACAGCGAAGTCGTATGTGTTCCACTTGGGCGAGGATGATATTTCGGACTAAATCTCCCAGACTGTTTCATTTTGGGAAGCCAATTCGGCCCGCTGATGGACTCAACAAGGGGATTGAGAAAGCCGTTGAGCGCGAGAGCGGAACCTAAAACGTCCCGGATTCCGTGCCTCTCCGGAATTTCGGAGACTGGATTCGCAAGCGGAGAAGACGGCCGCGGCCGTATTTCCAGTCAGAGAGAATCCCGCCCTTTCCCGTACCTCCCCCTCACCGTTCCGCTCCTCGTTGTGAAACTCTTTCTGCAATTTTCGCGATGCATTCGAGTTTGCGCTCGGAAGTCGCGACTCACGGTCCATTTGAAAATGATACCTTTTAAAATCGCACCCGCCGACCTATGGCTTGCGGCCGTTCGCTCGCATTGAGCTCCGCCAGAGCTCTTCGTAGGCCTCCCCAGAGCTGCAGCGAAGTGCATGTTGTCTTCCCGACAGATGATGATGGGTTTTTTTTCGAGCGCGAAAAGTCGCGAGACAGTTGGCTCCCGACCCAAAGAAACTGTTGGGTAATGTCTAGGCATCACTCGTTCTTCCCCCATTTTCCTCAAACCGTTCATTTTTGGAACGGGTGATGTTCGTTGCTCAAGTTCCCAAGGTGATCATCATCATGAGAAGATTAATTGGGAGTCGGGTGCATCGGCAAGCGCATCGAGTTGTGGTTGTTAGTGTGTCTCGTCTGCAGCAGTCGTCCGAGTCTCAATGAACAGCTGCGTGGTCAAGCTGGCTCACTGCATTGCGGCATGGCGAACTGGATGGCGAGCTAGATAGGGTACGGACTAGATACCATTGGGTCGATGGCAATGTGGCAATCAGTTATGCACCCAGACGACACTAGGGTCCTACTGTCCCCTCACAGAGCTATTGTTGTCAGGCCCATACGGACGACGAATCTTGCTACTAGTCAAAAGCCTGTCTCGGCAAGACCCTTTAGCCAGACCATCGCTAACTTATGGCTGGCCAATGCGGCAAGGACCGCCGCATCGTATACCGTATCATTTATATCCAGCCAATCGAGGACAATGAGATGCCACCACTGGACGCTTCCAAAACGTTGTTATTAATAAGGCTGGCATTGTAAGTCCGACTGCGTCGATGTCTTTCCGTTCTCGAGCTCACCCATCTCTCGCTGACGTCGACCGTTTTCTAAGCTCCGGAGGCAACCAGCCTCGAGCGGAGCGTATCCTTGCCCATTCTACCGGGGCCGGAAGGTAGAATCCGCTCATTCTCTGGGATAGAGCTCGTGAAATAGATGAGTTCTTTCCTGATGAGCCGGCGAGCGACGAGGCCGGTATTTCTTTTCGGGCGGAAATTAAGTTTGAGGCCACGGCGAGAAGTTAATGACATTCGTCGTGGGTGCCAAATGTCGGGGACGAAGCCCATCGCGGACTGTGACTCTGAGGGTGCTCAATAGTTGGAGTGAAGCAACAGACGCTTATACTCAGTGGATCGATGCCGCTACGCGCTCCGATTGCTCGCAACCAGCTCTGATTTCTCGATGGGAGACCTCCTCCAGAGAATAGACGAGCCTTTGTAGGAGAGATGAAATACATTCGAGTAGTAAAGCGCCCTTACGAGGTGGGGTGGTATTGGCAAAAGCTGACGACCACTGTTGCACAAGGGAGTAAGCTTATTTATGAGTTGGCTTATCTTCATTTAACTTGGTTTAGTCCTCCGACCGGGATCGCGTCGTCGTCTCCATCTTTGTTAGCCACCTTTGAGCTTTGCAGGAGAAGCATTCCAGCCACTCAGGACGGAATTACGGCTTGAGGGAGCCGAGGTTGGTGCTCCTCCGACAAAAGGGTACTGTGTTTTCGAGTTTTTTGACGTTTGAGATCATCGCTCTCCATTGTGAAACCGCGAATCATGAGGGTGTGCCGAATCGGTTTTCGCCAAACTCTCCTTTTCGAGATGAAAGATGTTCGATGCGGGACATGGAAGGATTCCACTCTGTCAGGGAGCAAGGTTGAAATTCACTTTTTATACCCTCGCGGCACCGGCACTGTCACGCTGTTTGGAACACGAATCCGCTATTCCGACGAGCGGATTTCACTTCAGCCCCTGCGGTAGCGTTTCGACATAGAATTTTGTAGTTTGTTCCGTCGAGCCTCGACTCGGAGGACGATGTCATTGTTCGTCGTTTAGGAACCTCTCGGAAACTCCGACGGGCTTCCGAAGGGCCAGGACGAGGAGAGGAGGGGGCAACGCCTCTCTAGCCGTTACACCAACTTCGATTACTCGGCTGAGGTTGGGAGTAAGTGACTGTGTACGAATGAGAAAGAGCAAGCGCTCGGCCTCACTGTGATGCCAAATGTGTTTCTAATACAGCGTCGTCCTCAATCTTACATACATGGTGGGGCGACGTCGGTCGGTCGCTGTTCGAGTAGCGGCAAGCGAGAAAAGGAGAAAAGGCACTGGAGGAGGTGGTGATGGCGACCGATGGAAAATTGGTGTTCGCTCTAGCGTTTCCTGATGAGAAGGGGAACCAGCAGAAGAAAAAGCAGCAAGCCCAGATGTACGAGTTCTCAGGCCCCAAGGCGGCATCGTCGTCGGTGACGACCCCAGCATGGGTACCCAAGCCACCCAACCCACCCATCAGGCCGCTCGCCCGCCTGCCTGCCTGCCTGCCTGCCAGCTTGCCTGCCTGCCAGCTTGCGCGCTCTCCCGCCAATCCAAGCTGCGATATCCACCACGTCGGCGTCGGTCGTCCACGCTCGAGTGAAGGATTTTGCTGTTTTTCCTCGCTCTCGTCGTGGTTGCCTAAAGGTGAAAACTTCGAGCCCCGCAACTTTTACTCGTGACCGCTCGTTCCCACGTTGATGATAGCTTGCTCGAATCGTAGCTCGCAACCCGCCCTACGCAAGTGATCGGCCTTAGCGTGCTCCTCGATGAGTGCAGTACTTTCACCAGCCCATGTTCAACGGTGCGAGCGGGCGTATTTGTTGCAGCGATGAATCGGAATCTCCGTCTGGCAGGTGCGCCGCACGAGGGATAATAAACTACCGCCGGAAGTTGGGGGAATTCTCCAAATTCCGGAATTCGGGGGATTTCGCCGATTCATGCGATTCACTGGGTCTGCAAGCAACTGGAGAGAGAAAATTCTCCGACATGAACCCTCAGCAGCGATTTCCGCGTCTCAAAGGAGATTGAGCAGCGACCTCTCTCCATTTTTATTCATACATCTCATTGCTTTCAAGCTCCCTGGTTTTCCGTGACGGACGGTGGCGCGTCGCTTTCTGGAGGAGCTCAAGTACGCCCCCTGTCCCCAGACAGGTATAGGGGGACAGCTGTCGAGATTCGGGTTAGATCTACGCGAATCGCCATTCGAGACTATTCGATTGTACCTAATTCCATCTCATCTGGTCCTTCACTCTTGCCAGCACGTTCTGAACTCGATTTTTCTCGACCTGAGAAATCGCAGTCGGTGCAGAAACCTGATCTGCGGATCATGTGACAATAAGGCGCGCACCGTTGAGAGATCTCTCGTCTCCGACCCTCAGGAGCCGAGCCGCGTCAGGGTGCTCGAGAAGAAACACCCGATCGTGTCCGCGGTTCCGCACATGCACGTCGTCGGGCCGGCGACTTCGAGTCGAGCGGGCGCTCCATCACGTGTTGACAGTAGACCTTTTTCGTTCTCGAAATCTTTGATTCTGCTCGACGAGATTTTCTTGTTTTCGGTGCGAGGATGACTCCTTAGGTCACTCTGACGCAATCAGAATCTCTTGCCTCCGCCTCGGATTCATGAGTGAGTAGTTCCCGTTACGCCTCTCTCCGGCTATGGGAAGTCTCTGCTGTCCCCGGGCGCGACCGTCCCCGGTGAATTCCTAGAACCCATTGTGAAACATTCCCGTTCATTCAATGACTCAGGTACGGCCTTTCTCCTAGCACTACTCTTCAACGCATTCGAGTTCCCCCTGTCCGTTTGAATCGTACGAGAACGCGATGACTCCCGAGCCGGAAGAGGACTTCATGATCGACTCTGTCCTGAGATTCATAGTCCGCGATTTAGAGCTGATTTCGCGACCTCCGCCGACGGATTTGATCTATCCCGATTGTGAGCTGTGCAACCAGTGCGATTTTCGAGAATGCCTCGGATCCTCCGCTCGCCGGGCCGAGTCCCCATGGTCAGAGGGCGTCGTCAAAACCCATCCGGAGGAAACTCCGTCCGAGAATGACGGCTTCGAACTCGTCGGGACCAACAAAATCGATACCAAGGATTATTGTGGAAATCCGCCTCTGAGACCGGATACTGGTCCGAAAGCGCGCGGATGCGCGCTGTGTGGACGTAGTTTCGACAATCAGGGCGAATTGAGGCGACACCTAAGATTTGTTCATCCGAATCACCGACCTCATTCTTGCGGTGTCTGTTCGCAAAACTTCATAGAACGAGGTCATCTGAAACGTCACCTATCACTGTTCCACACAAAGAGAGCCACCTTCAGATGCCAAGTTTGCGACAAGAAGTTCAGACGCCGCATAGTTCAGGAGAAAGCTCTATCTGCTAGCGAGGAGCGCGCTCGCGCTGTGTGCTTCCCTTGCAGGAAGCACTTATCGGATCGCCTCCCCGACCCGATCCCGCCCGTCGGTCGGACGTCAGTTCGCGAAACACTGCATCGCTGTCAATGCGGTCGAAGTTATACGAGGAAGGACTCGTTCCGGAGACACTCCAAACGTTGCACCGTAATACCAAAACCCATCGGTGTTCGGACATCACCGCGGTTCCTCACTTTCGCGGAGAAAGAATTTCTCGCTTTGGAGATGAACCGCGGATCAGGCACGAAATAAGCAAATCGACTTATTCTGTCGGCCCAGAATCGACATCCATATCTCGGGATATCCAATCGGGATGGACAGATTCAATGATGCACGAGCTGTTATCAGTGATGGAATAAATCCTCTCTTTTTTTTTCGGTGAAAACGCAATGACCCCTCACGTCGATGGCGGATCCCCCTCATACTTCGAATGACCTCAACTAACGTCAATGATTCACAGAGATCACATCGGGCACGATCCCAGCTTTCCGAGCTGGGCTCGGCTCGAAATGTGGTGTAAATGGTGTATCTTCCGAACGAAGTCCCGATCGCCCTCACCGGGGACGATCGAGCTCGGGGACGAAATGTTTCAGTTGCCGTCATCTCTAATCTTAGATTGAGTCGGCTTATCGATGTCGGGGAAGCATCGAATGAGAAGCGTGGAAGTCGATCAGCACTGTCGCTTTTTAGATACTTCCGGCGGTGTCGACTGGAAATTGAAGCGACACGCATATTCGAAACCCACGAATCGTTAGCGGAGCATCGCTTTTTGTCGGTTTCTCTTTTTGTCAGCCTCTAAGGATAGGGAACCTCTCCGATTCGGTTCCGATATTCATCCCTCGGTCCGCGACAGAGAGCGTGACTTTCTCCAACGGAGCATCCTCGATGACAGGCTGTGACGAAAGTGAGCGACTGTTCGATGCGTTAGCTAGCGAGCTTCTTTGCGCCCATCGAAAGATCTTTAGGCATATGATTTGGTGAGCTGCTTTGCCTACAATACCATACAGACCCTAATCGAATGACGACAGAGCTATATTCGGGGACCGCGGCGAGCGTCACTCAACGAGTGAGCGAACGATCCAAGCAACCGAACTACCGGTCGCTTGGCTGCTCGGTCGACCGCCGCGCCGACTCCTCCAACTCGAGTCAGAGAGTCGCTTTGGAACAAGCAGACGTCGCCAAAAGCTGCGCTTTGAGCATGTTGAATCTTTTTCCGATTCTGTGGCCTGTCGGTTCGGCATTGCCCGCACGGCGCCCGGTGGCTGCGTGTGGCCCTCATCGATAACCGATAGTCTAATTTACATATTGAAGTAGCGCAGTACCGTTCATTATTCCTCCTCCTCTAAGCTCTTCTTTCTTTTTCGGCCGAACTGGACTTTGGTTCCAGAGTAGTAGTAGTAGCTACAGAGGGGAATAGTTGATCGTCGAGCAATGGATCCCGTGGGAGCTCGCGGATCTCTCGCCAGAAATCCGTAGATAATTCCCCCTCATCGTTCCCGTCATAGAAGGGATCAGCGGATCCCTCCCCGATGAATCGATTCTCGGAACCTAGCTCTCATCTGTTTCACACTCGAACGCGACAAGATGCCGTCAGCGGTGCTGATTCTTCTCTCTCCAACTCCTTCTCGCTATCCCTCCGATCAAAACTCTAGAAGTGCGCATGGCCTCCCGCCGTGCCGAGACGGCATCTTTGGAAACAGACGATGCCAAAGATCGTCGACGCGTCTGTTTGCGCTCGTGTCCTACCCCGGAATGCCTGGAAAGGATCATTCGTTGACTTCCATCTGGGTTTGACATCAGTCATTGTCTTTGATCATTATCTCGAACTATTTGTAAGCTCTCTGGCGTAAATCCTGCGTCCGATTGTTGTCGCACCAGTGATATCCGGTCGATTCACGCGCCAAGTTTATTCGCTTTCGGTGAGCGCGGAAACATAGTGGATCGGACATGGAGACGCAGGAACATACTCCGACCCTCGTCGCCGACAATTTGAAGTCCGGGCTCGAGGAGTCTCTCCAATTTATTATTCGGAACCGAACCCATCCGAGACGAAAGCTCTTTCCCGTTGTGAAGGGGTCAAACACCCGATCTAGGCGGAGATTCTCTCTGTGAGCACAAACACAACATACTCAAGAACTACTACATACAAACTCTCTCATAAAGTCGCTCGTAGCGAGTTTCCCAGCGCGGCGAAGATTGATGACGGCCGACCAACTCGAATGAGTGAATCGTAACAGCCTAGTAAAACACGGCGTCATCGCCGTCTGACCCGTCGTCGTTGGCCGTACCGAGGCTGTCATCGTCGTTCGCCGCAACATCTGAACACGTTCCGCTGGTGGCGCGGATTAAGATGTAAACATTTTTAAATGTTCTCCGACCAGTAGACTCCACGAGCAGCGTCGTTCGGTCATGCTCTGAGCAAGCGCTTGCGTGAGAGTCTCCTTCGTGTTTCGTTTGGGCATTCGTTTCGGTGCGATTTAGAGACGAATCGTCGCTATTCTTGTGGAAGTCCACAGCCGGGAAGTGGTCGGCCGGCAGGCCGCTCGGCCGATGAATTCCTCCCGCGTCCGCCGCCCTTCCAAAATGCCTGAATCTCATCACTCTCTGAATTACTTAGTGGTATTTCAACCTGTGCCCTTTTAGGTTCAGCGGGGAGCCTCGTGGTTTTCGAGAGTTTCAGATCAGGGAGGAGCGCCTCTTTGCTCTCATTCATCGGAACGATTCACGAACGAGTGTCTTCGCGATCACTCCACGACATGCGCATGTCCCCCCAACGCGATATCGCTAGTATCTCCCTTTTTTTCTTCATGTTATTCTACCGAGTTCCGCTTGCTTGTTTGACGCTAGTAATAGGAATAGTAGTAATGATAATAGTGTCAGCCCACGATCTAATTATCCCGTGGTCGGATATAGATGGCGTTTGCAGCTGGTGATGCTGCGACGGCTGGCTGGCTGGGTGCTCTTAGCTGCAAACGCGATTTGGGTCAAAACAGCAGCAGCGGAAACAGCAGCAAAGGCAGAAACGACCCCCCTGTCAATAAAGGGTCAAAGCGACGATGGCGCGGGTTGCATCTTCCTCTTCTCACGTGGGACAAGTCTATGGGGAAATAGCTGCAGAGCGGACGAGCTCGCGAGTGATCGAGCAAAGGAACGGGTGGACCATCGAGAGGACGAGCCTGCTTGTCATCTGGCCCGAAACTCGATTTGCTGTCCGCTACGTGACAACAGAGTGACACTCCTTTTTGAGAAACCGCGCTTCCCCACCGCCGGTCCACTGGACTTTATCAGTTGAGGAGTCGGTAAATATATTCAGGCGGGAGCGTCGCTACGGGACGGAACGTGCCGTCCTACGGGGACTCGGGCGCGTATCGTGGCAGTATTGCAAAAAAGACATCGCGATGCGACGCTTCCGATGTATAGATGAATAAGAGAGGCTCGATGTCGACATACACAGTTTAGAGCCGTGGCTAGGAATAATGAGATTTTCTATATTTTGTTTTTCCTCTAACTCAGTCATCGCGAGTTTCGGAATGCTTCTCCAGGTCGGGAAAGAGGCTCGACTCGGTTGCTAGAGAACATATCGAGTCTGTCGCCATCCATGATCAGTAATTCGTTCCTATGTGACGACTGTCGACGAACCAACGCAGGAAAGAGATGGCTGACGAAGGCGGTAGTGACGATGACGATTGTTGCTTTCGGCCTCGGCTAGATATCTCCGGGCTCTGACTCCCGACGGGAACGTCCGTATCGACACAGGGCGGTATGGGAGCTAGAGGGAACTGCGGAGAGAGCCAGGGATGTCATCAGAGCCGTCAGGGCGCTTATCAATACCATATGGATCCGCGGGTCCCTCTGGTTTCTCTCGAACTGACGTCGACGGATATACGCGCACTCACATATTAGGGTCATCACAAGAACCATCAAGTCAACTCTGTCAACATTCAATGTCCGACTCTTTGACTGTCTATCTGACTCGCTCAGCGACTGACTGACTGCCCAGACGCTTGACGTCTGACTCTAGCTGGATAGATAAATCCACAGGACTGTATTCGGGTTGTCAAGATGGGTGAATGAGGACGCTCTATGGAATTCGAGTCTCTCGAAGCTCGAGGTGGCTGCCGCAATTCGTTTCGGGGACAACGAATTCCTGGAATTAGTCCTTTGTAACTGACTCCTCCGTCCGAAAGGTTCTCGGATAAGCATGCCAGGTCATTTCAAGTAGTCATCGGACTCCGCTCGACGAGAGATGAGGTTTTCAGCGTAAAATTTCTATTCCGAACTTTCAAGCTGTTTCCTCTTCCTCCAGTATACGCTGCTCAACAACCCAAGGTCGTCGACGTCGTCGGAGACGGAAGTGTTTCCCTCCCTGGGAATTCTCTTCTCCCAGCCTGCACGGTACGTCGTTTTCCTCAAGCGCGCTCTCGGTCCCTCCCTCGCTCGGTCGAAATCCCGAAGTTTCTCCCCCTGACAGAATGACGGAGATGGATTCCCTGAAACAAGCGGGTGGTGAAAAAATTACGTCGACTTCAAGAGGAGAGCGGTGGAACATCAGAGCGAAGAGCGAGAGAGATTCGGTGAACGATCCGGGTGGAAAGAGTTCAGAAAAATTCGGGTTCCGCGTTTTTATGTATTTTGCACCACCCCCGCTGCCGTGGCTACTTTAATTAAAGTCCAGCTCCCTGGATTGCTCATCTGTCAGTCACAGTGCGCGGAAAGGACCTCCGGGAAGACGGGAGACATCGTCTGCGCTATCGTGTCCTTGCTGTTTGTCGAGACGGCAATAAACTACCGTAGGAGTCAACTGACCGTCTAACCTCCGACAAGCCGAGGGTCGAGCAGCGGTCGATCTCGGTGTTCGGCTTGTGAACGTGTGAAAATCTCACCCGCAGCTCACGCTTAACCTCCCGATCCAAGGTGCCGAGATGCGAATGCGTGACAGCAACCCCGCGCAGGCGCGTTGAACCTCCAGTCAAACGCACCGAACGCTCCGTTTCCGGACAGTATCCAAATGTGACAGCATGTCACTTGAACTCGGATTAACAGAAGACGGAGAAGGGCGGCTTTAAGTTTCTCAGGTGCTCTGGACAACGGAAGACGAATCTTCGGGTAGACGAGGCGGGGGAACAAGCTAAATTGTTTGTCAGGGCCGTTTTTCGTTTCTCTAACATCCCTTCTCAGCCCCCATCCTCTGTGAACCTCAGCTGACTAGAGATCCTATACAGGAGCATGGACTCCAAGCGTGAAAGATCCTCGATGTGGCTGCCTCGAGAAATACAGAGGATCTCCAGAGGAATAGGTACTGAGAGTCGAGTGCCGCAAAGGAATCACATTCTTCTCACGAAATGGCGGAACCGATTTCTCAGAGCCGTGGCTA